ATGCTACTATATGTCAACCTAACAGTTATTTAAAGGAAGGCTTTTCTCTCTTATCTCAATAGGCAATAGACAACAAGACAATAGACAAAGACAATTAGACAATAAAAAGTTAGACAACTAGATAGTTAAAGTAAATAATAGGGCTTCTAGGTTTGAGTCTGGTTTGGTCCGAGTTTAATCAAACTTCAAACACAAATCAAACTCAAACTTAAAATTTTACTAATTTTCAAACTCAAATCAAATCAAACTTTTTTTTTTCAAACTCAAACTAAACTCAAACTTGATTTTAAGTTTGATCCAGGTTTGGTTTGAAAGTTTGCAAACAATTTGAAGTTTGAAATATATATATATTTTTTTATGTGCAAAACAAGTTCACTTATTATGCCAAAGTACTATTTATTAGTCATCAGCAAAATATATAAACGTAATCTTACGTAAGATATTACAGCCCGTAATATTGCGCAAGAATTACGATTGATGCGCAATATTGTGCAATAATCAATTATGGAATATTATGCAAAAATATTGCAAAATATTATGTAATATATTTTAAAATAATTTCAAACCGATTTGAAATATTTCGAAATAGTTCGAAACAAATCAAAACAAATCAAAATATTTTGAGTTTACCAATTCGAAATATATCAAAATATTCTAAATAAAAAACATAATAAACTGAAATTTTTATAACGAAATTTACTAGGATATTTTGAAATATTTCAAAATAATTTGAATTATTTCAAATTGGACGAATTTATTTGTTGCCCCCCGTTACATTTTAATTTGTCACGGGTCACGTGATTATTGATTAATTGCACATAATTTAGATATTATCGTTATCTATGAATTTTATTTACAGTTACGATATATACATAATTTAGTATTATATATTTTGTCATAACTATAATTAAACATTTGACACTTCTGGATTGGGTATCCAATCCAATATCTAATCGTAATTTTTGGCATTAGCCACATTTATAATTAAATCTTGGATGTCCAATATTCAATCAAAATTATTAGATTTTGGACGTCTAATTAGGATCATTCGATATAACAATATTTTGTATCCTTTAAATCATTTTGCAGGCAAATTTGCCTGCAAATTTTTTGATCAAAATTGTTTTTGCTAAACAACTTATGTAAATCTCTATATTAAATCATTTAAATGCATGACTTTAACAGGATAAATATGCTCAATTATTGGATAAATTTTTGCAGGCAAATTTGCCTGGATCGGCTTATGATTTAAGGGATATTAACTTATAGGTAAATTTTTTTACAAAATTGCATGTGTAAAGGAAATATGATATATAGTTCGAGAACTAGAGCTATTACTCTTTACAATAATCAAATTTTATAAATCCTATAAGTTCATATGCATAAGTTTAGATCACAATAATTTTCTAGTTCTTATATAGAATCATGGTCTTTTAAAATAATAAGTTTTAGAACGTTAAATATTTCATAATCACAAACAAAAAAAAAACAAAAACTAGTTCTGCAATTTATAGCTTAGTGTTGTTATCAAATTTGTCTTATAATAATAAGCATTCAATGTTAAAACTAAAACATAATTTCAAATATTACCCTTATTCCACTGATTCTAACCAACATACATGTTTGTATCGCATACTAGAGCTAGCTACTTTTTTTCACACCTCGCGCTATTATGACCAGTTTGGCCACAGTTGCGGCAAGTATATGGCTGTCTACGTGCTCTCTCTATTGTAGCCTTATAACGTTTAGTTTCAGGTCTACCCTTACGCCTAGTAACTGGTGGATTAGCGATTTCTAAATTGCTTTCATTGTCACAATTGTTAAACCCAGTGCTTGGTATTCCATTTTCATTGTTTGTTATAGAATGTTTCTTTTTATCAATAAACGCTCTCAGCTATTATACCATTTCATTATCACCATCATACTCAACTGCAAGTTGGGTTGCTTGCCGAGCAAGACCCCACAGTTCACCATACTTAGAACATCTAACTGCTGCACATCGATTACTTGTTGTCTATTGCCTATTGAGATAAGAGAGAAAAGCCTTCCTTTAAATAACTGTTAGGTTGACATATAGTAGCAT